GCAAGCAGTTAAGTAGTAAGTAACGACTACAGCCTGAGGTCATCATCGTGGTCAAAGGGCGAACTATCATTGTTGTTGGCATCCCTATGTCACGCGTTAGTAGTAGTTTAATTCCAAATCAGCAGTAAAATGTCTGGACAGAAAATGTTCCTATCCACAACCGGAAGACTTGGCACCGACCAACCTGCGTCGGGGTCATTTGCAAACTTCATCAGGAACGCAGGTGTAGTTGTTTGTGATCATAAACGGACACAGTAAGCATTGATTTTAAAGAATCATATTCGGACAGTTCAGCAGATTACGAATACCACATCAAGAAAAACAACAAAAACCGTGAACAGTGCAGGCATCTGGCGAAGAAGGAGACAAACGCCTGTACAGACAGTGATTAATACGAAACTACTAAATGTCACGTCAATACCTTCGATAAAACCGTCATTCAAATCGACGACAAGGGGTCCCTTCGCCCAGTCGAAAGTCGAAAGGAGCCGAAGAAAACGCAGAAAAGTCGCCAGCGGGGAGGCCGAGGCGAGGGCCGCTTCGCTTTCCTCCACTACGAAAGGGCTCTCGGCGAGTGTACCGCTGACGGGCTTGGTAAAGAAGCCTGCATACACAATCATCAACTCCACCGCGATCTCAGAGAGACGAAAGTCTGCGGAGAAGTCGCTGTCACCGAGGAGGGACGGTGGTCGACTGGCGGGCAAGCCACGGGGCTCAGTGCCCAGCTCCGGACACCGTACTACCGGCAGACCATGGCCGGACAGCCAGCGCTTGGCCAGGCGACAGGCCTCGGGGAAGGTGTTTAGGTGGACTCGCGAGATAGTGTTAAGTTGGCTAGTGACCGCTGGTAACCTCTCATTGAAGAGCAGCCAACGCTGAAGGTCAACCGGTGTGCGTAGAGTGGTCGCGTCAGTGTCTGGCGCTACTGCGAGGGACTGCTGCTGTTTACTACGGGTCTGCTTCGATTTGGGGAGAAGGCCTGCGGCACGCTTCAACAGCAGAAGCTCCAGTGGTTGGTAAAAGGAGACGCGTAGGACCAGGCCACCCTACAACGAAGGAAAGAAATAAAATAAGAGAAAGAGAGAAGCACAGAGAGAGAGAGAGAGCTTGGTGGGTCAACAATGCGAAGTGCACCGGGTGTTTTAAAATCGAAGTACACCATTTCAGTTGGCCCAGAGTTCTGCAAAAATGACTGTAATTTTGTGAGACTTACTAGAAGAGCCATAAGCCTATTGCTGGAGGACACGGAAGCACCATTCACATTTTTTGATACTGAAAGAAGCCTTCGAACACTGCCATCCATCCATCCACACACAGACAAACGATAAGAATTGACTCCCTGGAATTGTGA